GCAAATTGAGTCGCTTGAACGTACTGTCTCGAGTCGAGTAGGGTCATTACACCAAAACATCGGGTCGAGTCAAGTATTTAGTTCCAATCACTTTGAGTCCCAAATAATTTGGAACAGCAAAATCTTCGAAAATAAATATCGAGTGTCCAGAATTATGTAAAATGGTTGACACAGGCTTCGATTTTTAATACATTCATCTGGAAAACGTCACACAATACATTCTAATTATTTTGACTCGAATCATTACGACTCTGCTCAACCACCGATGTAGAATATACATAATACACCGCTTGAAATAAAACTACGCTGGCCCTCAAATTGCGGTGTAAAATCTCGATAGTAAGTTACTGGAACAACATAATTCAACTGATTAAAAACACATTACGTATTGCTGGTGTCAAACTGTGACTAAAATACCGAGATCTAGATATCCGAGACCAAACCCGACACTGATACAAGCAAAAACTGGTCTCGAAACCGGTCATAGACCTACATTACTAAAAACTATCATACGACTGGCCTCTTCGTTCCATTATCTGTTATTTAGAGGGTACAATATATATAGGCCGCATTTATTACATTATTGGTCAGTATTACATTATTTATTAGCCGTAACATAACCCAGGATGGGATACATTTTGGTACGACTTTTCCAGATAAAGAATTTGAGGGATTTTTTTTAATACTGAAAGTGAAGGTTATGCACCACGATGCATAAAAATCACTGTTTGCCCACACACATCTGCAGTTCGTGAGGCGGCGGCAGCCGCCATTTTGATGCTTGTGCGTTCATTTTCAGCAATAAACAGCCCTCAGAAATGTCGAACAACAATAACTATTAAATGACAACACAACCATAAAGCTAACCCCCAAACTGCTTAACAGTTGATGAGAGTAGCCTACTATATCTAGGATATAGTTATGTATTTATTAGGTTTAGTTCTTACCTGTCCTTCTGAAGCCTTATTTTCTTGTCTGGGTAGATTTAGTTTCCTTGCCGCATTGAAATTGTGAACGGTTGGTGCGGTCTTGCTGTCTTGTGTGCATCCCGGTGTTCTGGCTTTGAAGTACGAGTTTTTCACAGCGCCACTTTCGTTCATATATAAATGATGAACACCGCAACTACTTCAAGGGAATGGTACCAAAATGTACCTCATTTAACATCAATGCTGGACACGACTAGATCCCGTGCGGTAGGGAGCTGTCGCTACCACGAGTTTAATGCTTACACGGTCGACGTGGCGGTTACGGCAGTGATGGATACTCGCACGAGCGGCACAGTTGAACTTGTGCGATGCGCTGGACAGCATGCATGCAGGCAAGCCCACAACTCATAACCCCAGCCACATGCAGTCATGTCAAACGAAACCCGGTACCGGTTCTCTTGAATTCATTGGCCAATACATATCTCTTACCAGGTAGTTTCTTCGCTTTACGTGTCTGCTTTTGCTTGTACATGTATTGTATTTTGCAAGTAAGGACCAGTTCATGCTTGGTAGTAGAAGAGAGCCGTCAAAGTTGAGAGGGGTGAGTACGCGTACGCGTGCGAGGCTTGTTCTTCAAAGGAACTCTAGCAAGAAATGGCGCGTGCTAGTCATGTCAATCACTGTTGCTCCTGCAAAATTGAATTCCATTCCCATTCCGAGAGTATTAAAGAATTTAGGGAATCGGTGCATTGAAAAGACTCTCCAGCTAATACTTGAAGAATTTTAGGATACTGTTGAACAAAACGACGGTTGGCCCTAGATTGTGCATATTTTATGCTAAAAAAAACGCCGAGAACACTAGCTTTCGCAGAAGACATATGAACGAGTAGATTGTGTTTCCAAGGAATAATTGGCGTAATGAAATGAAGTTTAAAAATGATCGTACGCAAAGACACCCCATTTACATGGACGAATTGGTGCATTTATATGGACTGTTTGATGTAGCCTATATAGTGCTGTGTGATTGACTAAGTTTCTGGCAATAATTAGATGCATTTTATTAGTTGATATCGACTACCATCAGATTTTTGTCACGAAATCTCAGACTGAAAACTCAAAAGTGTTGTAGCTTAATTAAGTTTTGTAAAGTGAAAGAAAAGTCAGACGAAGCGAGCTTTTAAGCAGCCCTTCCTTTGCTGATATCAGGTTAATTCAATATTTAATAATATTTCTGACCCTCACACTATTGACGTAAGCCTACTCGATTGCAGGACATACATTGCACCGCTAGGGGTATACATGTAGCCTACTAAAGATCAATCACATTGCTTTTACGTAACGTGATTATTTAACGGGAATTGATCATTGTTACCCATGTCATGACTAACGTGGCAGCTTTTCTTCGCAATTATCAAAAAATAAATCGTCATTTGGGGCGGTCAGTCCTACTGCGAGAATGCTCAGAGACCAAAACTGTTCCCCAAGAGGTTCTTGCCCTTGCGACCCTAAAGTGTTTTATAGCACACGAACAGAGAAAAAACTGTGAAACTTAGCCTAGATGTCATTCTTGGCAAATGACCATGGCCGTCTGCATGAAATTCACCAGGACCTTCATCCGGTTCAAACTGGGACAGTTCAGTAACTTTATTATACGATCCAGTGTTGGTAAACGTTGTCGCTGGAAAAGCAGTTCCGCAAGTCGCTCTAACTCTTCAACCTGCAGTAAGTCTTAGAATGCACAGCGCTCATGCCCGCAGGCGCGTTTGCCCCGAAATCGTTACAGTCGTATAATTGCGCAGCCATAGTGTGACGTCATCAAAACAGGCGTCTATTTGATGCCCCGACGACTTTTTTTTCAGTTTGCCTGGTATGAAGGAGGACTTCAACTCAACAGCATTTTGGTTTTTATCTCTAATAGATAATGAAATGTAAATTTCATAAAAAATGAAAATTGTAAATTATCTATGTGATTCATCTTCATAATCCCAAAATTGACCTATCATTGTTTGCGAGGTAGCCACATCCCTTAGATAAACTCATGGATTTTTTATATATTTGTTTATAAATGTAATTTATTATAAATAATATTACAATTACATGAATAAATAAAATTTTATATTAAAAATTTGTCTGTCTCTCTCATTTGTGTCATTATTGATTTGGGTGTCCTACGTGTGCCTTTTCTATCCTCGGTACTGTAACGATACACCTACCACGCCCTTTAACTCGAGCGGCTAAGCAAAGAACGTGCGAGCAGTAGAGGCCGTCCGTTTTGAGAAAATACATCTCGGTGGTCCGCAGACTAGATTCAGGAGGGGGGGTAACATGAGAGGTAGATGACAACAGCAGTGATGATGTCTAGACAAATAAATTACCAGTAACAAAAGTTTAATTAGACTCACTTACAATCACTGTACAATGCATGGACCCGGTTTGCACCTCCCGCACAATGAAGGTGCTAGACGAACAAACATTCCAGAACACTCGCACTGATGCGCGCTTCCTGCACGAACTGCAAAGCGATCTGTCTTAGATGGTGCGCCGGTGCCTACTACATCCAGGGAGCATCTGCCCCGCACGCTCTGCGTGCGGCTGTACATGCATGCGCATGGCGCTCTAGGGTCACGACACTCTAGCTGTAATCTATGTATTCGGTACAGTACCTTACGTGTGTTACGTATGTAATTTGGGATTTTATCGTCCAAATTGACTTCCATTGTGGGTTGACTAGTAATTTGCAATTTCATTAATCTTTCTTAGAAATTAGGTGCTCTAACTTTAATCAGAAGCTAGGTGTAATAGCTAGGGACAAGGGAAGGGAGTAATTAAGTTCTCCAGATTAATGCAACGACAGATTTTACAAGCTCATATACGACAATATTTCACTAGCTGTGTTGACACGTTTTTACCACCGCCTGAACGGATAATTGCCTGAACGGTGGAAGTAAACATGAAAGGGCCTAACACCACATTACAAGCAATCTCCTCTGCCAGTTTGTGGAGTTATGTTCGCATGCCACCTGTTCTTCATCGTTGCCAAAGGAGGATAAACCGTTCCATCGGTTATCAATAGTGAGTGTGTATCGAGGGGGGGGGGAGCAGACAGTGGGGGATGTATCTATGGCGAGCGGTAGGCCTACGGGTGGTTATTAAACATTTGTATCCTTGGGGAATTCTCATTGCTCTCACCTTGTAGCAGGGTAATTCCAGATTATAAGGTCTGTGTCCCGAAAAGTTTTGTAAGTTCAGGGTACATTTTCTAATTTCCAAGANGAGATGAATTCATGCAAATTACCTGCGGCCAATAGTAATAGTTCCAGTTATATTGCCACGTCAAAAAACAAAGGTCGTATGTAACGAGACAAAACTAATTCTTTTGGACCCCTAATTTCTAGAACCACAGATCGTGCAAATTTTAGGACCGCGGCTCTGAAATTTTTTAGTTCACTCCTTCTCCTGGAAAATCTTGGATTCGCCCCCGGGTATGTGAAATTTATTAGCATTATTTTTTTTTTAATTAATTAATTTTTTTGTGAGGAGAAATTTCTCTGGGAAGGATCCGGCAAGTTCCGACCATGGAGACCCAACAGGGCAAGATATGGGACCAGGCAAGATATGGGACGGAAGGGGACCCCCTCCCTTACCTGTCCACTCCTATACACACTAAAGACTATTGTTACCTAGCAAATCACCCCTATAAGTCTGTAACGAATTCCTGAGATTCCGATCAAACCGTGACCAACACAAAGGCGGGGGGGTCTCTCCGTCCCATATCTTGCTTTAAATGCTGACAGGTCAAGTTCTGCTCCTCCGTCCTTCGGCATGCTCGTTTCTATTGACGCCTTGGAGAACAAAGGCAGGCATTGCCAGGCAAGCTTTGTATTTGGCTCGGTAAAATGGCCGCGAGTGGATTTAATGATCTCTATAAGCTGATTATCCGTGCCAGGTCATGCTTGCACCTATGCTTGCACTGAGCCCGCCCGGCCGAGCCGAACTCTTTTCCTAATCGCCCCATAATGATAGCGCCCTCTGTAGTTTTTCAAGAACGTAAACATATATTGACCCATACCTTGGGCGTGCGATGAGTTATAGAAATTGTCGAATTACAAGAATACGTACGTACGTAGGCCTACGTTGGAACTTTTGACTATTTAAACATGTGCTGGAAAGAATACCGCTGACGTGTTGAGCGTGTGCTATCAATCATGACGTTATTGTTGATGTGAACCCCAGTGTTAAATTGTCACTCGTGTTGAAGGGGATGACAAAAGCCGTCCAAATTAGTGCTTAAACACGGTTGTGACGGTGTGAACACGATGACGATGGACTTGAAGGAGTAATTTCACCCGGCAGTACACGTGTACGTGTACGCCTACAGATCGGTGATACACGGTGACGGTGTGAACACGATGACGATGGACTTGAAGGAGTAATTTCACCCGGCAGTACATGTGTACGCCTACAGATCGGTGATGTACAGTTAGATGCTCATTTGACATTGCCTAGCCGGTACATGTATATAGAGCAAGGACACAGTGGAGCCTGGAGGTAAAGTTATATATTGTCTAACGTGTCAAGGCAGGCCTGGGTAGACAATTGTTACTTCCAGAATTTTTGAGGTTGTACATGTACCGGTATGCTGTCACCAGATTTTCACCATGTACCCACGTAACTAGTCATTCCGGGGTCGTTTTGTAGAGTGGCAGGGTATTCTGCAATTTATTCTCATGAGGGAATAGGCCTACATGGAATAAGAGTTCCATATATGGATGCCAGTATTTCCGGTTTCGAGTCAACTCGGACCCAAACCAACTCGGACCCATGCCAACTCGGACCCATGCCAACTCGGACCCACGACCAACTCGGACCCATGTCAACTCGGCCCCAATAC